CCTAGTACGAGTACCTCCGGGACCCGCGACCGCAGCACCCTCAGCAGCCAAAGAACATCTCGCACCAGCAGTACTGCGCCAGCGCCGGGCAAACCACTCGCGCAGCTCCTGTGGAGAGAGTGGCTCCCGGCGAGAAGAAGCACCCAGAGAACCTCCAGGCGGAGCACCTCCACTCTCAGCACCCCCTGGCTCAGCACCCCCAGACGCAGTACCCCGAGGCTCAGCACCCCCAGACTCCGCACCCCCAGGTCCAGCACCCCCAGGCTCAGCACCCCCAGCAGCACCAGAATCACTAGTGACCTCGACAGGCTCGACTGCGTCTACCTGGAACACACCTGAAGGGGCAGGACCCTGAGGGGGGAGGGAGTCTACCTGGGGGGGACCTGGTACAAGGAAGAGCGGGGGTGGGGGGAGGGACGGAGTGCGGTAGGGGAAGAGGCGGTAGTAGGGGACCGACTCGTCAAACGTGACGTCCTGGGAGGACAGAACACGTCGAGAGGTGGGGTGGTAGAACTGCCACCCAGGCGCGTCAGGGGGGAACCCCAGGAAAGACGCAAGGAGCAGCACGAGGGGACAGCTTGTCCGCAGACAAGTCGCGGACAAACGCCCAAGATCCCCAGACCCGGAACGCCGACGCATCGCCAACCTTCCCCATCCACAATAAGGCTGGGGATGTCTCCGGCCTGGAGATCCTGGGGTGGAGGATGATCTGATGCGCCGCGTACCTGACCGCAAACGGCCATAGAAAATGGGGGGCAGCCGCATGCATCATAGACGTACGAGAAACGTCCATGACCATGCCAATGCGGCGCTCAGCAATCCCATTTTGCTGCGGTGAGTCCGGAAGCGTGAAGGTCTGATGGATGCCTCGTGCGCGATAGTAGGCTCGCAGTAGGCCAGTGGAAAACTCTCCGCCTCTGTCCGAGTGCAGACGCAGAACAGGGAAGTCCGAGCCAAAGCTCCGCCTGAGCTGGAGACGAGCCGCGCGGATCCAGTTGATTAGCACCTCAGTGACATCACCCTTGCTGCGCAAGGGGAAGACTTCGGTGTAACGCGAGTAGTTGTCAACAATGAGCAGGAAGTAGCGCTCGTGACCCTATCCACGGACGCGGGCCGGGCCCCACACGTCCATGCAAAGCGTCTTCAACGGGGCCTCTGTCGGAGGAAACTGGGAGGAGTGAGGGGCAGCCCGCTGGCGCCCCTCGACACAGGGGACACAGGGAGGGACAGGGCCCTGAGGAAGGGGAGGGAGGGACCGGGGGAGACCAGACACAAGAAGACGGGAGGCCATGCCTCCGAGCCGAAGCAGAGAGGGGTGACCAAGACGGTGGTGCCAGAGAAGAGTCTCATGAGACAAGAGACGACACGAACAGGGGGCAGACTCAGGACCAGACCTAGACGGTGCAGCAAACACCTGACCGGACGAAACGACAATACAAGACTCAGTAACGGGAGAAGACGCAGTGGCCAGTGTGTACAGGCTCGACCCCGGCTGACGGGTAAACGTAGCCAGGTGCCGGCCTCTGCTAGCCTCTGTACAGTGCGTCACCCGCTGACGCGCAGGAGTGAACTGGTGTACTCCCTCATCCTGTAGGTCAGCACCACTCACCAGGTTCGTCGAGAACGAGGGGAGGTAGATACCAGACAGGGTGCCAGAGGGAGCCGTTGGACACGGGAGGACTGTGGAGAAGCGAGACAGTACAAGACCCCGCGAGGGGTCAGCCAGAGACACCGCAACCGGCCGACTAAGCGGCGTGAGTGTGGTGCAGTCCCCAAAGAAGGAGCGAGACGCCCTAGAGTCAAGAGTGAAGGTGAGGGAGGCCGAAACCGACGTAGTACCTGAGAGTGCAGACTCACCAGTACCTAAGGACGCAGAGACACTAGCACCTAGAGCAGCAGCGTCGCAAGCACCTAGGGCAGCAGCCTCAATGCCCGGATCGGGCGGAAAACAGCGGTAGCAGTCACCCTCATCACTATGAGACACAGCATACATGGCAGAGAGAATAGCATCAAAGTCAAGATCAAAGATGGCAACACCCGCCCTGACAGCTCGCCCCAGCGAGGAATCTCTGAGGCCTCCGGGAACTGGTGACGCCACGCGTCCGTCAGGCGGCCAAAGCAGCGCTGGGTGGGGTGCGGGCCCCCATACTGCTCACCCGCACGGTCGCCCTTGCGCAGGACGTAGGTGCACAGACCAAAACCCCCACCCCGCTGGCGTGCAGTGTACCACTCACGGAGCTGCTGAGGGGACAGGGTCTCACGACCGCGCTGCTGCTGCTGGCGCGCGCCGCTACCGGAGCCACTCCTCTACGAAGACCCGCGACCAGCTCCACCGCCACCCCCACCGCCTCCGCCGCCTCCGCTTCTGCCGCCGCCTCCACCGCCGCCTCCACCGCCGCCTCCACCGCCGCCTCCACCACAGCCTCCACCGCTGCCTCCACCGCCGCCTCCACCAGCGCTCCCACCGCCACCGCCGCCGCCGCCGCCGCCTCCGCCTCCACTGCCGCCACCGACCCCCCTACCCGCACCTCCACTCCCACCGCCACCCGCAGTACCCCCACCGCCTCCACCTCCACCTCCACCGCCCACTCCTCCAGCTCCCTTGCCCCCCTTGCCCTTGCCAGGGCGGCGTCGCCCGCTAGGGGCAGACGCCGCACCGACCGACTCAAGACCAACGAGGTCGGCCGTAGCAGCAGAGGCAATAGAGGGCAGCAGGGGGGAGGGGGAACACCCCTCAAAGATGGGGGTGCGCGGGTCACCTCGAGAGGCTCCTACAGCGACTATACTCTTCTCCGCTGCTAAGAGGGCCTTCTCGAGGAGATCGACAGTGAGTGTGGTGGGAGAGACTGAGAGAAAGTGGTCCCTGACTACTTGAAGGGAGTCAGGAAGGCGAGTGACTAGGAAGTACAGAGTGATGTACATGCGGGGGGGGATTCTTGGCGCAGAAGTCAGCAGGGAGTGCAGCGCGGTAGCGAGTGTCACTAGTGCGGAGGTGCGTAATGAGATCACTCACGGTGGGAAAGGCAGCAAGGTCAGGGAAGAGGTACGGTAGCATGAGACGGCTCAGTGCAGCAGCGGCAGGGGAGGAGTAGCGAGTGACTACAGCGTCGTACAAGGTCTGAGCACTCTTGTACTGACTAAAGTGCGCACGCTCGGAGGTAGGGAGGTGGCGACGCACAGCAAGACGTGCAGCAGCGTCGCGCGTGGCCCACTGGGAGCGAACAGTGGCGTCAGCATCAGCGGCAGGGGCAGGGGAAGCGCCAGAGGTAAGGTTAAAGAGAGAGAGGCCGTCTGCCCTATCGCACTGTAAGAACAGCTGCAGGTCGTCTACCCAGACCTCAAAGTCAATGGCCCGACCCTCATCGTCAAAAGCGAGGACACTAGGGGTAGCCATGACGACAGTAGCCTAGCAATACTAACTGTAGGACAGGGGCACTTCAGTGACAGGAGTGCTGCTCTCACCAGACAGGGCGGGTCGGGTAGCTCAGCAACACAGCAACACGGCAACACGGCTGCTCGGACGGCTCAGCAACAACTGCGGTTCGGGCGGCTCGGGCGGCTCGGCTCCACAGCGGCTCGGGCGGCTCGGGCGGGTCGCGCGGCTCGGCTCCTCAGCGGCTCAGGCGGCTCGGGTGGCTCGGGCAGGTTGGGCAGGTCGGGCGGCTCGAGCGGGTCGGGCAGCTCGGGTGGCGCGGCAGTGTAGGGCCGTAGGGCTGCTGGTAGGGCGGTGGGGCCGCAAGGTTGGTGGCGGGGCCGCTGTGGGAGGCGGCGGGGCCGCAGTGTGAGGCGGCGGGGCCGTAGGGAAGAACGGCGGGGCCGCTGCGAGAGGGGCGGCGGGGCCGCAGAGACGGGCGGCGGAGCCGCAGTGAGAGGCGGCGGGGCCGCAGCTAGAGAGGCGGCGGGGCCGCGGAGATGGGTGGCGGGGCCGCAGAGACTGGCGGCGGGGCCGAAGTGAGAGGCGGCAGGGCCGCAGCGAGAGAGGCGGCGGGGCCGCGGAGACAGGCGGCGGAGCCGCTGAAACGGGCGGCGGGGCCGCAGTGCGAGAGGCGGCGGGGCCGCGAAGACGGGCGGCGGGGCCGCTGAGACGGGTGGCGGGGCCACAGTGAGAGGCGGCGGGGCCGCAGCAAGAGAGGCGGCGGGGCCGTGGAGACGGGCGGCGGGGCCGCTGAGACGGGCGGCGGGGCCGCAGTGAGAGAGGTAGCGGGGCCGCGAAGACGGGCGGCGGGGCCGCTGAGACGGGTGGCGAGGCCGCAGTGAAGGGCGGCGGGGCCGCAACGAGAGAGGCGGTGGGGCCGCAGAAAAGGGCGGCGAGGCCGCTGAGACAGGCGGCGGGGCCGCAGTGAAGGGCCGCTAGGGCGGCTCGACGAAGTGAGGGCCCGGAGCGCGACTCGGGCTGAGCGCGCTTCGGGCAGGAAAAAAAAAACTCGATGTGGTGGGCCCTAAGCACAGTTCCCAAGGGGGAACCTGCTCGATACCATGAGACAAAGGGGCTGGCAGAGGGGATGAGTTCAACATATGTGGTCGGGGTGTGGAGAAGAAAAGGGTCATGTAATTGATGACAAAGGGCCGCACTGTTTTTGTGTTGCAGATGAGAGGATAGAGCGTCACGGTAAGGCAGAGTTCGTGGCACCGCACTCACTGAGAGTCCCTTTTGGGTCAGTAACATTTGGGTGATGTAGTCTATGTCACCATCCGCCTTTATACCGAAATACTCATAATCCGTAGGTTCAGGCCGGTACTGCGCTTTCGCGCTGAGTCGCGATCCACATCCAGCAAAGGTCGCCTTCCGTCAATAGCGGCTATTGGTGTAACGTCGGGAATTCACAAGGGTTAGAAGGGAACTGCCACGCCACCTTCGTTTCGCCGAGTGGGTCTACTAGGGCACCATTGGGGCCAAGGCGGGCGCATTCGCCGCCTACGCTCGTCCCTGCCGCATCTTCCGTGGAGCAGCAGGCAAGCAGGGAGAGCAAGCGCGAGAAGCGGCGGCCACTACCCGCAGCATGCGGCGCTCCAACCTCGCCTGCCCGACCTGGGCTGCAGAGGCGGCGGTGAGCCGCCAGGGAATGGCACGAGAGCGCCGCGTGCTATGCGCGCTGGCGCTCGCTTGGTGCCTCGCCGCCTTCGCCACGCCCTTTGCCATGGTCCACGGTGTGCCAATGGAGGCCTTGCAAGGTGCCATGCTCGAGGAGGCCACCGTTTCCTGAGGCCTGGCCGGCAGCAAGGAGTACCACCGCTAGTAGTGATCCACCGTTACACCTCCTCATCATCGTGTCTTTGATATTTGTCGCCCTAAATTAACGAACCCGCTGTATTTGCGCCCATTACCCCTCAACACTTCCGTCACTCTCACAGTTTTCTATCAAACCCTCTTTCCTCCTCCCCCCCCCCCCCCTCTCCTCCCCCCCTTCCCCATCACCCTCCCCCACCCCCTTCCCCCTCACCCTTCCCCACCCCCCTCCCCTCCCCCCCACCCCCACCCCCCTCCCCTTCCCCCCACCCCCACCCTTCATCCCACCCCTCGACCCGTCCCTCTTCCCTCCCCCTTTTCTCCCCCCCCCACCTGTCCCACCTTCCCCAACTACCCCCTCCACGTGCAGTGCAATTCCTGTAGAATTGCGAGACGGCATGGGGTAAAACTTTTGATGATTGGAGTGGCTCGAATTGCGAGAGCACCAAGCCAGGAGGCTCCTCGGAGGAGCCCTTTGCTAAAGGCATCAAATGCGACTCGAACGGGATGATCATGTCCATGTGAGATGATCTCGTTGGCAGTAGTCTGGATGGTGTTCCCACGGTACTGCACCCATCATGCAGTAGTACAGGCTACTAGCCCACAGTAGGAAGGCTTGGAATTTTTGGACAGGACAGGGACAACTCTCACATGGGCTCACTCGCTAGTTCCAATGCCTTATTGTTTCCAAATCGATGGTGGGGGCACGCTTGGGTGCAGGATTCTAGACTTTGAATGGGTGGAAGGGTCTCTTCCGACCTCCATCGGCAATCTGAGAGAGATCAGCGCCCTGTACGTCCTCCTAGCCTTGTGAACTGTCTGCCTGCAAGGCATAGAGATAAGCAGCGACAAGTGGAGTTGAGAACAAGGTTGGAATTGTGGAAGGGGGTGGATGGATGAACTTGTCCAGTGCAAGTTGAGGGAGTGGTGAGGCGGCAGCAGAAACAAGGTGTGAAATGTGGCTGTGGCCCTGTGGGGGTGAGCATTGAGCCGCGTGGGACGTGGTGTGTAATCAAGCCAGCAAATAGGAGTAAGAAGATGCGAGTCAAGAGAAGTATTAGTGAGTTAGTGGATGTTTATGACCCATAGCTGTTGGGCGCAGTAACGGCCCTGATTGCTCAGATTCGTCGTTAGAAAGTAAAACCCACCCAACCTCCCATTCTTTTTCCATGTTGTGCTTCCAGTGGGTGCCCTCTTACCCATCCTACGCTCCACATGTTTTCCTGTCCTGTGAATTATGTTTCTCGTACATCATGCCATCACCAATATATTGTGAATCCTTACATCTTCATTTTCTCCCCTTTTTGGTTACTTGCTTTGTAGCCCTCTTTGTAATCTTCCTCGGATCAATACTTTGCGTCCACACCATGTAGAATAGGCATGAACACACTGCTCTATGAAATGACAAAAGTCTGATTGTCGTACTAGCTTTGGCCTGCCACTTGAACTTATGTCCTTATTGAATGTGCGATCCACGTTCATCATTACAGAGATCTCTCTTAAAGTTATCTCACTGGGTCAATCCCTACAAAAGTCTTCACCCTTACGAAGCTGACAAATATGTAAGGCCTCCGATGTGCTGTGCTTTCCGCTCAAACTCACTCGTTTCCCACTCTATTCCTTCTTTTTCAATCCCTTCTTATCATCGTAACCTTTCCATTCTTCTCAATTTCGATCATGCTTCTGCGTCCCTTTCCTATATTTGCACCTCTCATTCCATCCTCCACTTCTTCTTCCTCACTCATCCAATTCTTCAGTTTTCCAAAGCAAGGCATTCCCACTGACAGCGCACCATAGGCAGTTTTCATCACCCTGCTATCATACTTTTGTAGCGTTTTTTAGTATGTCAATTTTCTACTAAGTTAATATATTGCATGGATGTACACTTTGTTTCTATCCAGGCCTGAATTTTCTGCCTATCTCTATCACGCCTTGTCATGGCAGTTCTCTTAACTCTAATCAATTTACAGGCACGATTTCCAGTGCAATTAACATGCTTACCAACCTGATTGGCATGTAAGACTTCTGTTTTGTTGTGCTCTCCTTTTTGTTGCCGCACCTGTCTGTCTACTCTTTCGTTCTTCTTGAACCAGTTTTATTCATTCAGCTTAGCCCGGAATGCTCATATCCATATCTTGCACCTGGCGTCACCGCACTTGTTTGGGACAATACCCAGTTAGCATTATATTGCGTGCACCTACCAAATCACTTACCCCCATATACCATTTGTTCCTTGTGAACACAGACGTTTCGAAAAGAACCAGCTGACAGGGTCAATTCCAAGTGAAACCAGCAGGCTCACAGCCTTGGTATCTCTGTAAGCCCCACTCTATTGTAGACATGAGAAACGGGCGAACACAAACGTATTTGAGTCGTTGCCAAATATGTGTTGTCTTCAAAGAGTGCACAAGGAGCTTATGTTTTTGCGCTTTTGCCTAAGAGCATCCACGCGCAATAACAAGCGACCCTGGTGTGAAGAAATTAGAAATGGCTGAACTAGCAAGCAGGTGGGCACAAGTAGGAAAACCTAAAAGTGTTGTACCCCATATTGTCTACCCCATACAGCCTACACAGACTATAGCATATGAGTTTGACACACCCCCATAGGCAAAGTGGGGGAGAACAAGAGGTCACAAGACCAGTCAAGCAAAGCAAAGCAAGGTCAGGGTGGATCAGAACGTCACCACACATTCCAAGCACAAGTTCAAGGCCACAAGGCCAGTTCACATGCAAGATCATATATAAAGGTAAACAAGCAAGTGTAGGTACAGAAAGATCACAGTACAAGCAAGGTCAAGAAGTGAGCAAGTGAGGCCAAGTAGGCACAAGACCTAGCATCGTACAGAAGCGCTGATGATCACAAGGCGCAAGTGCCTTGGTAAAGATATCAGCAGTGTTGGCCTCAGAGGCCACGTAAGCAAGGCGCAGCTGACCATGCTGCAGCCCACGAGCAAGGAAGTAGCGAAGAGCAATGTGTTTCGTTCTGTGCTCCACTCTGTGCTCCTCACACAAGGCCAGCATGGCCTTGTTGTCTACGTACAGAACTGGAGGAGAACGAGACGGCTTTCCTAGGTCAGTCAGCAGGTAGGTGAGCCAGCGTAGCTCCTGTGCAGCCATGACCCCCGCGTAGATCTTAGCCTCACAGCTGGAGCCGAGAACAAAAGACGAGCGGGTAGACCGCCACGAAACAGAGCCGGAACCAAGGCTGAAGGTATAACCCTGTGACGACCGCTGCGTAGCCTGGTCGTCAGCCCAAGAAGCGTCTGCGTGACCTGTGAGGACCACTCGACGTCGCCCTCCAAGCACTAGCCCCATGCCCGACGTACTGCACAAGTAGCGCAACACCCTCTTCGCTGCAGCCATGTGCTCTGGTCGGTGTCTCCCAGGAGCAACATAGCGTGCCAAGATGCTAAGAGGGTATGCAAGGTCAGGTCGTGTGCAGGTCATCAGGTACATGAGGCAGCCAACAAGCTCTGGGTACGGGCCACTCGGCTCTACGGACTCATCCGAAGGCAGAGCTGAGAGCGAGTGGCGAGTAGACAGAGGAGTGGCCTGAGGCGAGGAGTACGTGAAGTCGAAGCGCTGAAGGACATGCTGCACCATGTGTGACTGAGTCAGGGTAATGGTGCCCTGTGCTTTGTCCCGAGTGATCTGCAAGCCAAGGTAGCTGCGCAGTTCACCCAGGTCTCTGCACGTGTGTCTCTTCTGCAGCTCAGACTTCACGTGGGCGAGTCCAGCAGTGTCAGCAGTGGCAAAGACCAAGTCGTCGACATACACGAGGATGTAGAACGGCGGCAAAGAGGTGTCGGTGCGCAGAAACAGCGACGGGTTGGCAGTAGAAGGAGCAAACCCAAGAGCCGCAAGTGTAGTCCTCTGTGTGTCGTGCCACTCACGGGGCGCCTAGCGGAGACCGTAGACTTGCCGCCGCAGGCTCCACTGGGTACCAGGGGGAAACGACCCAGTGAAGCCAGGTGGGCAGCGCAGCCAGCTCTCCTTGTGCAGGCTGCCCTGCAGGAAAGCTGTGATAAAGTCAAGAGAGTGAAGCTCATTGTCGTGCTGAGCGGCTATGTGCAGCAGCACCCGAAGAGTGGTCATCTTTGGGGTGGGAGAGAATGTCTGAAAGTAGTCAACTCCTTGCCGCTGAATGAAGCCTCGAGCCACGTAACGCGCCTTGAAGACACGCGGAGAACCCGGCGGCCGCTTCACCTTGAAAATCCACATGCCACTGACGATGTTCGCCCCATGTGGGGGAACCTCGTCGACGTACGTGCCTGTGGACTTCCATGAAGCCATCTCTGCGTCCATGGCCGACTGCCAGTGTAAGGAGTAGGGACCCTAGATCGCCCTAGCGTACGATCGAGGAGTCGGGATGTCTGGTGCATCCGGGTCTACCTCAGGGGCAATCAGCGTGGACACGAGATGAGGCAAAGCAGCAGCAAAACACTGGAACTCATCCTGCATGTTCTCAAAGACGTCCGTGTTAAGAGCATACTCACCCTCGACGGACGGAGGACAGACAGACTCAGACTCAGCAACGAGACTAGTGGCGTAGTCTAGACGACAGCGAGCAGCAAAGTCGACAAGCTCAGCAACTAGGGCAGACGCAACAGAGGACTCAAAGCAAGGGTCACTGACAACAGTAGCCTGGAGACGCGTGATAGTAGGACTGGCAGCACGACGAGAGACAGACTCCGGGTCAGCAAGGGCAGGAAGAGAGGAGTCTGGAGGAGACGGCAACGGGACACGAAGAGGAGCAGTGGAAGGACGCAGTGCCATCTGGTGTGTGCTTGGGACCGCAGGAGGACGCGGACACGGAGCATGACTACTAGTGCGAGCGGCACGATTAGGCGACGCAGGACGAGACGCAGGCTAACGACGCTCAGCAAGACCTCCAGTAGGACCAGTATAGGGAGAAGGAGCAGGTAGGGGGGAGGTGGGCTGTAACTTTGACCGCAACTGGACAGACTGTGGACACTCTAAGGGAGGAGCAGGACGTGTAGAGGGCGGGTGACCAAGAACCTGCTTAAGGAGCGGAACGAAGTACGGCCGTGGCCGTGCAGCACCTCCTGAACCAGCAGGGACAGTACCAGTACCCCCAGCGTAAGCACCAACGCCAGCAGCACCTCCAGCACCAACACCCCCAGCAGCTCAAGCACCAGCAGCTCCAGCTCTAGCAGCACCAACTCCAGCAGGACAGTCACCAGCACCCCTAGGCCTAGCAGCTCCAGCACACCTCCAGCAGCACCCGCAGCACTTCCAGCAAGACCAACTCGTGCAGCCCCAGTAGCACCCCCAGTCCCAGCAGCTCCAGCACCGCCAGTACGAGCACCTCCAGGACCAGTGGCTCCAGTAACTCTTGTGCCGACCCCAGGGTAAGCAGTAACCATAGCACCTCCAGCTCAAGCAG